GACCATCTGAATTTRTACTCTTTCTTTTATTTACACTACTTTTTCTCCCGGTTATTGATGATGTTTCTCATTTGTTTTTATTAGATGCAGGTGTTTTCTGCACTTCAGCTGGGAGCACTTTCCCTTTTCAGCCAATTTCRGATCTACTTTGTGTCTCAGTCACCTTTTGACTGTGATACTGGAGAGGCAGAGTAAGAGAGAAGGAGATACTGGGTTTTGCTGCCTCAGCAGATGTGTGTTAAAGTGTTTTAGTGATTCAGCCAGTGTGTCTGCCCAAGGCCAAAGGAGAGGCATTGTCTGAATCTAAAACAATTAATAATAAAAAAACAATGTGGGCAGCATGAAGCGGGGGAAGGTGGAGGTGGAAAGTGAGTGAATCACACGGATATTTCCAGCTTGCAGAGCACCTTGACAAGATCTGCAGCCGATTACAAAGACAGCCCTTTAAGGCCACCCTGTCCCCTCCTAGACACAGAAGTCTCTGCAGTCCTGCTGCACAGAAAAGTGAAACTGAAGCTTCTTTTGCAAYTCATCCCCAGTCATGGAGCATCCCTCCCCAGGGCCAGACTGCGCCTTCCCAATGCCCCAGGGACGCAGGAACACACACAGCCCCATGGCCATGGCATGCATGGCCATGGGGCAGAAAACTCACAGCCCCACTTGCTGGGCAATGCAAAATGCTGGGAAGGACATTGAACTGCTCACCCTGCATTCAGGTTCTTAAGAGCCACCTACAACACAATGRCCTCTGCTCTCCACTCTGGCCAGGAAGGTGCAAAGAGGAACCTCCGTTGTCTGCTGATGAAACACCTGTCTTTTCCCCATTAGCAGAAAAATTTAATTTCATCTGTGCTCAGGCAAGAGGAATTTGTCTCCTGAGCTATTTCTACCTCTATCATTTAAACATTCAGTACAGCCTTTATGCTTCAGTCCTTGTGAAAGACGCTGAGGAAGAACCTCAGGATGCCCAGAATCTGATGTCCCTCGCTTACTGAATCCCCCTACTTTGCACCCCAAACTGATGCATGCGGGCCACTGGGAGATGCAGGCACCCCAATCACCCGTCACCACTGGAAATCTTGGCAGCTGAGCCYTGATAATGTGAAACAGAGCCAACACAGCCCCACAGAACACCCAGGCGCTGATCTGGTGGGGGGAGACTCCATTTCTACATGCGGTTTAAAATTGATACCCCCACGAGGCATGTTAGAAAGCAAAACATTGATGCTGTCTTCACTGRAAGCATCGGTTGCTTTGTTTTTTTAATGACACAGAAAGCTGCTTGCAAAGAGATAATTTCATTCAGCCTAACCCTTGCTGAATGTGGAAGGAAGTCCTTGGAGGTGACTCTCCAATGTATCCAGTATGCCACCTAGCCCTCGCTAGCTCTACTACATCCACTGCTGCGGGATGGGCCRCTGGATCCTGTTGGAAAGGGGCTCCCCAGCATGAAGCTGAGAACACTTGTTGGGGTTCTCATCACAACCAAGAAGGCACTGTCCAAGGGAAGAACAAATAACTTGGGAAGAAATCACATTTTGCTTCTGACACTCAATGCAGTTTCCATGCAAAGTGAAATATTATGTCGATATCTGCATCTCCTGCTGTTGCTCATCTCTCTTTTCTGCACTYCTGTCTCAGACTTGTTCCATCAGTCCCACTTTTGTTGTTTGTCATTCTTCCCTCCAAGGATTGTAAAAGTATTGACTTTTAATTTTTTTTTTTCAGAACAATGCTTCAAGCACCCGATTTCCCAACTGTTCAGTGTTTTTTAACACTTGCTCATGAAAACAAATTACACTCTCTTGTATAAGCATTATTTTGATAATGAGTTTCAGATCTACAAAAACCGGACAGTCATTATGGAGGGAGAAGAAAAAAAGTATTTCACTTTTGTATCTGTCATTCAGCTCTTAATCTTTCTAGATTGCCTGAACTTTTTTGATGTTCTAAGTGCTTCCAAAACACACAGATTAGCCCAAACTAATTAAAGTGTGCGTTTCATCCTCTTTATCAGTCCCAGGAAAGTCAGTGCTTTTGCGTATTAGAAACTATTATAATGAAGTGTAATGCATCTGAGATGTTAAGAACAGCAACTGCTTTCCAAATCATTCTCTTTATGCAGCAGAGCTATATGTAACATATAGAGCCTATAGAAATGAAATAACTAGAAGACACTAATAGAAACGTTGGTTTCCTCTGAACACTCTCTGTTCACTCCCTCAAAATAAGAGAGCATGTCTTATAAACATAAAACATGATTGTGATCTCCTTGGAAGAGCACAAGCCAGGAGAAATGTGATCTTTGTTAGCTGCAGGCTCTCCTACAGCTCACGAGCAGCCATATGCTGCATGCTGTCTTGTGGCTGTCTTACAATCCCAGGGCAGTGGGGTTTTTTTGGTGTCAGCAGAAGATGCCATACAGACAGACCTTGTGGAGAGCAAGGAGAGCACAGAGCAGGGGTCATTTGCAACTCCATCCCAACCGCCGGGCTCAGTGGTTCAGTACAGCTGGCAGCCCTAAGATCCCCATGGCTGAGACTGCTTTCATAAAATGGGGGAAAACCTGCCAAGAGGGCACCTCTCACGGCTGAAATCTTGTCATCTTCTGTCTGAGGATATGACTCCATTTCCAGGCAAGCTTTTGTGGATGAGTGTCCTCTCAGTGCAGCGCAGGAGTGAAATGAGGGTGGCTGCGAGACAACTTCACACGACCTGGGTTTTGGCCCAAGAGAAATTTCCCGGACAGCCCCAAGTTAGAGCAGCTTCCCCTGGGATCCCTCGCAGGATCTCTGCCCCGTGGCAATCCAGCCGTGCCAAGTCTCCCATGCCAAGGCTTGCAGCTGGGCTTGATGAAGGCAGTTCTCTACACGCCTCACCATTTTGTGTCTCGCAGGTTGGAGTGGGAGTGAAACCTCTCTTCCACCCCTCCAGATACTCTCGCTGCCTCTGTACCAGCTATTAATACGGGGCACTCTGTTTCTTACACAGTGGATGAGAGAACCAGGAAAGCYATTCTTCTCCTGCCCTAAGCCCTCTCACAAAGTGCTTCCAGACCTCCAGGTGAACAGTGCTCACTCTCTGCCTGGTGCTATTTTCTGCAAAGCACCCATTCAGACCAGTGGCAGATTCTCATAAAAACCAGCGGCAGGATGCAATTAATATGCTGTAAAAGTCCTAAGTGTCAACTGGAGAAACCATTTTAAAGCACTTCTAGATAAAACCCCTGGGGAGTGCTTTTCTTACCTTAGAGGTGGCTATTTTTTTTTATTTTTTTTTTTTTTTTTTTTTTTTTTTTTTTTTTTTTTTTTTTTTGCAGTTAACTGTGATCTAAGCAGAGATTCAGGTAGTAATAAATAAAATCTCTGGAAAAGCTCTTGGTAGAAAGAAAAGAAAAAAAAAACCCACCCAGCTTAGAAATGTGGCTTTCTTTTTTGAAGGGCAAGGGGTTAGAACAGGAGGAATTTGATCTTTACTACAGAGTCCACATGGGGTAGAAAGGCAGTAAAACAAGGAACACCTGAGAGGTGCAGTGAAMGCCTTAAGCTGGAAATTTTGGAGAAGAAGGAGTTAATGCTTTTAAGCAACCATCCGTCCTCTTACCATAGATAAGGGTGCATTCTAGTGGCAAAATCCATGCAATGCAGCTGCACAGATGACTGATCTAAAAAGAAACCTGGGGAATATGAAGCTTTGGAGGAGTGCGTGCCTATGTGGAAGGGGGGCTGACTTGAATCGCACATAAACCTCACTCAGAACTGCCTGATCCCTTTGAATTTCCCACTGCCCCGGCAGATGCCCCCGTGCTTGYGCCTGTGAGCAGACTCCCAGCTCATCCCCCTGCTCCAGGTGTAGCCCCTGAGCACAGCTGCGGGGGTTGCACACCCCAGTTATGGAGATTCCCTTCCCTACGCTTCSAGCTTCCCCGCTCCTGGCGATGAATGAGAACTCAGAGAGGCAAATGAGAAGGACCAGGGCCGGGCGAACTGTAACCCTGAGGAATGCAGCGGTGGAACAAAAGACAACAAACCCCAAGCTGCCCAGGACAGGGGATGAGAGCTKCTAAGCGCTTTTTTTTTTTTTTTTCTTTTCTTCTCCCTCCCCATTTTGTGCGGGGCAAGAGGCAAAAGAATGAACTAAAACGTGCACATTGGACTTCACATGGCAAAATTCCCCTTCTTTTCTGGCATGCCCTAAGCAACAGCGAACTTTTCCAAAGAGGAATCTAACACAGTCCTTACAAGCAGCCCAGCCCTCCCTCTCGCTCACTGTCCAGCCGCATTAACCCTTGCTGTTTAGGGGTGTCAGGGGCGCACCCCGGCACAGGGCAAAACCTCTCTGCGGTTTTAAAGCTAGCCCAGGGGCAGAGGGACAGGAGAGGGGGACTGGGCACCCTGCGCACACAGAGGCTCCTTGCTGGGCCCGGGCGGGCGAGAGGAGCTCCCTGGCAGGCACCCAGCCATCTCCTCCTGCGCTCACCTTTGGAGCACATGGGCTCTGCGAGGGTCCCCAGCCCTCCCCYTACAGACACCAGATGGGGGCCCACGCCCCACCAGCACAGCACGTAGGATCAGGCCCTGCTAACTCAATCCCCCACTTCTTCCTCAAACTCAGAGCCCTGACCTCTCCCATCCAGACTCCCTGCAGCCCAGGCTGCCCTGCAACCCAATGGCAACCACTTCGTTTTTTTTTTTTTTGGTTTTTTTTTTCCTTAAACCGTGAAGATCTGAACTTTCCCCCCACACCCCCCTTCCCGATCGTCGGCTTCCCCTTCCCCCTCCTCCTCCCCTTGTCTCTCCTCATAATATTATCCTTGATCACTGCCCGGGGTTTGAAGCGCAGAAGTCAGGAGCTGCGCACCCCACCCCCACGGCCCGAGCGCGCACTGATAGGGCCCTCGCTGCTGGCACCTAGTCAAGCTGAGGTGTCATTGGGATCTCAAATTGCAGCGAGGGGCTGGCAGGCAGCCAGAGGCAGTCTATTTAAAAGACAGCCTGTTCTGCAGTATTCAGTCTCTTTAGAAACTTCTCCAGGGGAAAAGTGTTGGGAGATCTACAAAGTGGATTTTTTTTCCTTTTTTTTCCCTTCTCCCTGATTTTTTACCGCTCCTCTACAGACTTTGCAACAAAACACTCCAACTTTGCAGCAAACTTTTTTTTTTTAAATCTTTTGGTCTTTTTTTTTTTTCTTTGCAAATCTTGGAAGAGGAAAGCGGGAGAGTTGAACAGAGCCGATCGAAACACAACTTTGCTTCATACCAAGCTTCCCAGCAGCTCGCTGCGTCGGGAGAGACTTTTTCTCCTGCAGAAGAAGAGAGAGGGGAGGGGACCTTTGCAGCCCCTCTTCCTTCTCCTGCGGTTTTGGTTTTTTTTTTTGTTTTTTTTTTTTTCCACTCTTCTTTACTGCTTTGATGCATTATTAGCAGGACACTGGTTTTCAAGGAACTTTGCTCCCTTCCCAACCTGCCTCCTCCCAGCCCTTTGGGAAGAGTGTGTGTGAGTGTGTGCGTGCGTGTGTGAAATCGCCGTCCCACCTCCCCGAACCCCCCTGCTCCCCCACGCCTCCCCCTCTGCAACCTGTAGGCTGTGCAACCCCTGCAGGCTTCGCTCCCTTTCCCCCCTACTTCCCTCCCTCTTTTTTTGCGCTCCCGCGGATCGCGGTGCGAATTCCCCCTTTCGAAGCGAGAAAAAGCTGAAAGGAGAAACGGGGGGRAAAAAAGACCCCCAAAAAAAGGAAATCTAGACGTCCCCCCTCTCCCAACGCCAAAAGAAAAGCAGGAGGTCTCGCACCCCGAGAATACACCCCAGAGTGGGGCGCCTGCAAGCAGGGGCTGCGCTTTTCTTTTTGAATTTTATTTTTTAAAATTCTTTACTTTTTTTTTYYTTYTTTTTTTTCTTTTTGCCCCTGAAGGGGCAAGCGGAAAGCCAGCGCCGCCCGCTCCCGGCAGCCCCCCGCGCCCCGTCCCGCAGCATCCCCGCCGCGATGCTGCTGCGGCTCCTGGTGCTGCTGGGCGCCTGCCCGGGGCTGTCGCGGTGCCTGGGCTCCTTCGTGCAGTGCGAGCCCTGCGATGCCAAGGCGCTGTCGCTCTGCCCGCCGCCGCCGCTGGGCTGCGAGCTGGTGAAGGAGCCGGGCTGCGGCTGCTGCCTCACCTGTGCCCTGCCCGCCGGGCAGCCCTGCGGCGTCTACACCGAGCGCTGCGCCCGCGGGCTGCGCTGCCTCCCGCGCCAGGGCGAGGAGAAGCCGCTGCACGCCCTGCTCCACGGCACCGCCGTCTGCCTCAGCGAGAAGAGCTACCGCGAGCAAGCCAAGGCCGGTGAGTGACCCCGATCCTCCATCCGCAGCTCTCCCGGATGCTTATCCGCCTTGCAGGCTCCTTTTCCATCTTTCTGCCTGCTTTTTCCACCTCACCGCCAGCTCCCGGCTGCGTTTTCCCTCGTTCCGGGTGCTCTTYCATGACCCTCCGCTTGCTTTTCCGTCTTTCCGGCTCCCTTTCCATCTTTCCGCTTGCTTTTTTGCTCCCTCCCACTGGCTGCTCTTCCCTGCCCCCGCCGCTGCTTTCCCATCCCGCCGGTTGCTTTTCCGTCTTCCCAGGTGCTGTTCCATGCCCCCGCTTGCCTCTCCGCCTTCCCGGCTACTTTTCCATCTTTCCGCCCGGTTTTCCATCCCCACCCTCCCCCCCTGCGCTTCCAGCCCCCTCCCCCGCCGTGTGCTTTTTTGCCTTCCCGGCTCTTCCATTCCCCTGCACCACCACCAGCTGCTTTTCCATCTTTGTGGCTACTTTTCTGTCTTTCTGCCTGATTCTTCTCTTTCTCTCACACAATTACTCTCTCTGCCTGCTGTTCATCTTTCTAGCTATTTCCCCATTATTTCTCYTCCCCACCCCCTCCACGAGCAGCTTTTCCAAGCCACCGGTTRCTTTTCCATCTTTTCTGTCTGCTTYTCCACCACCACCACTTCCCCTGTGTGCTCTTTAACCCCACTGTTGCTTYTCCTCCTTTCCAGCTACTTTCACATCTTTCTAGCTGATTTCCACCCACACCCACAGTTGCTTTTCCATCTTTGTGGGTACTCTTCCATCCCCCTAACTGTTCTTCCTGCCCCCTGCTACTTTTCCCATCCCTCTTTCCATCTGAGCTCTGGTCAAACCTCCTGTTGCATCATCKCACAGCCTCCCCCACCCTTGCCTCTTGATTGTCCCATCTCCAGTGGAAAGGGTTTTTTTTTCCCCACTTCCTAGATGCACGCTCTTAGTCACAGCTGCATTCCAGTCCTTCTCCAGTTGCATCCTTTACATCTTTCCTGCATCACTGTCTTCAACGATCTTCCTGACGCCTTTCTATCACCATATCCCCCACCTTGCTCTGGGGCCCAAGCTGATCTCTGTAGATTGAAGTACAGAAGAGAGCAGGCTATCTCCTTAGAACCGTCCCATTCCCAAAGTCCTCAGCCACCCCCAGGGTTGTTGCTCTGCCTCACACKTCCTCCTTGGAATCACTACAGCCTGCTCTTCCTGTGTGCCAGCTGCTGAACATCTTTGTTGGGTGATGGGTTTAAGCCCAGGGTGGTGAAGAGAGCAGGTGCATTAGGGACGGGATGTGCGTTCGCAAAAAATTAATGGTGGTGTGGCTAATAACGGGAAAGAACAGGTTAAAATCAAGCATGAAGGAGAGCACAGCAGCACCAGCGCAAGGCCAAGCTTCTGAAATGTTTGCACCTTGCACGTGACAAAAGCATGAAAGAAAGTGCTCCTTCATTTTGGCACTCATTTTGCTCCCATTTCTGGCTTTGGCTTTTTCTTCCCTTTAACTTGTGTGAGGACACATTCCCTATATTCCTCCAGACACATCTGTATTTCTATCACGGTGTGAAGGGGAGGTAGGACGGGTGTCTTGTATGTCCGGGGGACCACTTGGCGAAAAAAAAAACAAAAAAAAACAAACGAACAGAAACCCTCACTTTTTTTTGTCCATGAAAAGTCATTTCTACTTGTTAGCAAGCATCTGCTTATACCCATGCACTGGGAATCCGTTTCTCCTTTCTAGCACCTAATAAATCTTGATGCTTTTATTATTTTTCCCCTTTGCTGCTTGCAGGCAGTGGTTGTGTTGCTACACTCCATCCTTCAGAGCAAAACCAAATTCTGTGTTTAATAACTTCCCCCCTCCCTCGAATGACATCAGATGTCCAAACTCCCTTTAATCAGCCAGAAACAGCAAAGCTGAGCTTGGTTTTTTGAGGGGAAGCTGGAAAGGATGAGGGTTGAGAGCCAACCTGCACAGGGAGCAGAGGGTGAGGCCAGGAGCCACGTTCCTGCCGTGGAGCCCAGGAAGCTGCACAGTAACCTCTGTCAGCGGAGATATGTGAAATATCCCRGAGCGCGTCATCCCCGTGTTTATTTACTCTGCACATGTGTGTGTTCGGCCAGGGGCAGGCAGTGTGGTCGGGATGGCAAAGCCATGCTGCTGAAACCAGCAGGACAGCAGGGCCCATCCTTGTGCCTGTGCTGAGGGTGCCCCATAGGGACACCTGAAAAAGCTTTGGTGGTTGGCATGAGCCTCCTTCAGTTTCACCTGCCTCACACCTCCCAAAGAAACTGGTCCTTTAGCAGGTGCTTTGTGTGAAAACTTTCGCCGGCTCCCTTGTAATTCCATTGCTTTTGATTTTCTTGGGATGAGGAACATCCGTTGAATGAACAAGGAGAGGGACAGGAAAGCGGTGGCAGGTTTGTCTTGCAAACCAAGCCCCTGGCACTACCTGCACTTCCAGTTTGGACTCCCTGAGTGCCGCAGGGGCCTCTTTTTGACAGGTTTTGTTCACAGACAGCAGATGAGCCTGGACTGGAAATGCTGCTGCAAGAAGCCACAGGAGACCAGCAGGCTCCTCTTGAGATTTGTGCAATTGCAAAAAAGAAATAAAAAATAAATCAGGAATTCCTGAGGACGGGAGAGGGGGGAAGAAAGTCACTTGGCATTCGACTGGTAGTGTGTGAGAACAAAGTATATTTTCATAGGCGTGTTTCTAAGCAACAGGGCAAGAAACGAAATGAAGTTTGACTTGAACTTTCTGGCCTCTGCCAGTTTGGCCAGCAGCACAGGGACTGTGCACTGGGGAAGCTGGCCTGGTCCTCCCATCTATCAATGACCAAAATTGGCCCTCAGCTGCAAGCTGCTGAGAAAAAATCAGCACTCKGCATAATAAACTATGTGACAGTGGTGAGGACTAGATCAAACTGCATTTCTATCTATTTCTGCCCTCGAGCTGGCCAAGTTTAAAACTGCAGATGCTTTCCTTCTTATGGACAAGGTGGAAATGCATCAAACAGTAYTGCAAGAGCCAGAGCCTGGGAGGCTGGGCTTAGCTCTCCTGTAGAGCAGATGTCTTGCCTGGGGACAAGATGCTCATGGGTACCATGCCTCAGTTTCCTCATATGTATGCTGAGCACAGTGGTACTGAGGAATGCTAGAGATAAAGAGCAGAATGTGCTTCTGGTTTGTTGAGAGGTCTGAAATGAAAGCAAGTGTGGGATTAAAGAGCCTTGGCAGGGCTTGTTTTAAGTAGATGGATATGTAGCTACTGACAGGATGGTCTCTTGTAGTCCTTCCTGCCACAACAGTCAAACACTGTCCTTTACTGAAAGCCAAACATCACGTCTGCAATTGACTGTTCCTGGTTAAAAAAAAAAAAAAAAACATGAATGAGCTTCATTTATGGCACAGGCTACAGGATTCTGGGTTTTCTCTGTTTTGTTTAGGTTTCCTTTGAAATGTACCACGTCTTTCCATTTTTCTCCCCTGTGCTCCTGCCAGACTTCCTCCTGCTGAGACAGCAAGGTCAGGCTGAGCACTGGGGAGCGGAGGGCACAGATTGGAGCCTGTTGCCCTAAAAAGGCTCATGGAAAAACAAAGGTTGTCAAATATTTCCTTCTCTCGCATTCCTGCTCTCTTTCTAGAAAGCGAGCAAGACTTGGCAAGTTTCCTCATGAAACCGTGAGCCAACGATAACCAGGAGGGGAAAGGGGTGGGGGTTTGCAGAATTAGCCCTAAGAAAATCATCTTTGCTGCGTCAGCTGAAAGGAGGAGGAATGCTGCCCAGCCCAAATTTCCTGTGGCTTGTGTTTGGTGCTGTCTTTTATTGCTCCCCAGCATATTCCCCACACCCCATTCCCCCTTCCCATACCTGCCTGCTCTACATTTGGAGGTGCAGGGCTTCAGGGGTGAGCARAGGGGATGTGGTGAGCTCCAGGTGGGCAGCTTCATGCTGAGGCCCGGGGTAAGGGTGAGGGTTAGGGCAGGGGTCATGGGAGCAGGGCGCTGGGGATGCGCTGGCTTGTGCACATGTGTCACTCTGGGAGGGACCCGGCTGGTGCGAGCGGCAGGTCCATTGTGCGAAAGCAGCTCCGAGCTGTCAAGGTGAAAGCTAGTATCAACAGGCCTGCAAAACCTCAGATACAAAACAGGAAAATCTCCATTTTTCTTTTGATCTGGAGTTTCAACAACAATATATTTTCAAAAACAAAAAAAAAGTGAAATCCATCAGGTGCGAGCAAGAGAGCTGGGTTTCTGTGGTGTGTGTSTGTCTGGGGGAGGAAGGGATGGGGTGGTTCAAACAGGAAAGGAGGGGCCTTGGCTGGAAGGATTTTTYAGCAGCCTGGTTTCTAAGGAAGGAGGGAGAATATTAAGTAGTCGATCCAAATGAAATTCCTGCCGAGTGCCAGCAGAGTTCACCGGAGAAAAGACGTGGCTCTGTGCGTGCGTGCGTGCGTGCATGAGTGATAGAGCTGGCCCCGACCTTCCACACAGCCCTGGACCCGCTCCAGGTCAGTGCGGGGAGCCCTACAGAGCTTGCGCCACCACAGCGGGGAACAGGGGCTGGTTTCAAACGGGAGCCTCKGCAAACTTGAGGGATGCTGGAGGAGGCCATTGTGCCTCCTTGTGTCGATACTTCAGCAGCAGCAGCAGCGTCCTGTGCCCAGATGATCGTCGCGCCTTTGGCACGTCAGTGACATGAGCACAGTCATGTGCGACTGGAAGCGTTTGCCTGACTGCRGGGTGTCCCCTCAGGCTTGACAGAAGCCAGGGTAGGGAAGATTGGGTACCTCCTGTGCCAGCTTCAGAGACATCCCCCAGTGTCTTTTGTAGCTTAGTTTGGCACGCGTGTCAGGGCAGAGGGGGAGGAAGAGGCGGAGAGGCGGCACCCGGCGCTGCCGCACACGGAGCGCGGTGCTCTGCTTCCTCCTAACGACCGCTGCAAGCTCTGCTCGCCCCGGGCCCAAAGAGCCGCAGATGCAGGAGCAGCTGCGGGAGCTGTTACAGC